GCTTGGGGATCAAATACTTATTTCACTCACTGAAATGCAAATCAATTTCTAACCTTTATATAATGTTGTGTTTTTTCTGGATTTTTTGGTATTTGTCTCTATACGTTAAAATAAACCTACCATAAAAATGACAGACCCTTCATTTCTTTGTAAGTGGGCAAACTTACAAAATCAGCAGGGGATCAAATAAATATTTCCCCCACTGTAAATATTGATATCGTATGACATGGCAAAAGGTATTGTGATAATATTTTTAGTCATATACCCCAGCCCTGCTTCAGAATCCTTGCAATATAGCTAATGAGTTGTATGGACTACCTTTATGATGCTTGTTTTAATGTGCTTTTGCATCCACATTCATTGCAATTCCAAGGAAGAAAAAGGCAACACAGGTTTCATAGTTTCTCTTTGGAACTCAAAGGTAAAGTCTTTGGAAGAAAGTCTGAAGCAATATGAAAGTGATTAAATGAAGACACTATTTTCATTTTTGGATGAACTACACCCTTTAAGCCAAAGAGGGCAAAACATACACGTGTACAAAAAAAAAAAAAGTTGCATTAAGACAATGGCAATATATCATTGACACCACCATAAACAGTCACTCTGGGGGAGGAGGGCAATATCTGAAAATGCATCCCAGAGAAACAGAGATCCGCAAAACCACAAGCGGTTTTCACAGCTCTGAAAATGTCACTTGTTTTTCTCTGGGTGAAAGATTTGGCCCCACAGCAAAGGTTAGGATGATTGTAAAAAACAAAAAACAACAACATCATGAGCCAGAGGAATGGCCTTCCAAAAATCAAATGGCAACCCATACCCGAATATTCTGTAAAAATTTATGAGCGCAAACCTCCATGGTGTTGTGGGTGGCTGCTAAGAAACTTCTTAAGTGTCCGTGGGTTTTAGAATATTGCTATGTGGCTGCAATGGTGCAAGTAAATGGGATGAAAATAGCACATCTGAACATTTAGAGCAGTGTTTCCTAAACTGGGGTTTGCAAAGGAACTGCAGGAGGCTAATTATTAATCATAAAAAAAGACAAATTACAATTATAATAAATCACAAACTTTGTGCTTCGTAACTTTTGATATAAAACAAAGTCTGAGATTTCAAATGTAGTCAATTTAATAATTAAGTTCAAACAGTATTAAGTACTTCCAGTTTCAGTTTTCAGCTAAATGAAAACGTTAGTTTTAGTGTCGGTTAAAAATTTATTTTGGTGCATCGCTATATGGGTTGGATGGATTTCTACAATGAAAGTCTTCATCTTGTGACACCTGCACAAACAAAACAAGAAAACAGGTTCTGTGGGCAGAAACAGCTACTTACCAAAAATACACTTTTCCCAGGACTTCAGCTCCTTTGTTTAACTCCCTTCTTGCTTTCGTCAGCTGTCTGCTGTGGCTCATTCTGCTCCCATATGTTGTCCTGTTCCTCCTCGCTCTCTTTGACCTCTCCGTCACCTTTCCCATCATCCCCCTCTGCCGAAGCTTCACTCTGGCATACACTGACAGAGATGACCAGCGCTTGCACGATACCATAGATCAACGCAAACGGCAGCAGGTACTCCTGAACCACCCACAGCAGTCCGGCCATCCCAACAGACGACACCAGAAACATGGCCATCCCATGGAGCCACAGCTTCAGGGCCCCCTGCACCCCCAGCACATCCAAAATGAATTTGGTCGGAGGGGATACGGTGGTCAGGAAGCCCACCACGAACAAGTCAAAGAGGTGGCGGAGGAAATTAAAGCAAATATCGTAGTGCTCAGGCACAATTTCCCCCGTCCACGAGCGAGAGAAGAACTGGAATGCAGATTTCTGTGGCGTGGGGGACGGCGGAGGCGTCCCATAGTCTGATTGCCCATCGACTTCATCGCTGTCCCACGTACCTTCACTCCACCCGGCACATTTCCGCTGGCGGAGCGCGGTGGACGACGACCACCGGGGCCAGAAAAAGTATCTGGATGGAAGCATTCGGCTCCACCAGCGTGAGGAGCTTTGGGACACTGCGCTCTCAGTCTCAACATCAGCCCTCAGCTCTTCAACTTCCAACGGCTTGATAGTCTCCTCGGTCTCCCAGAATTCCTCAGTGATTGTCTTTTGGTCCTTTTTGGTGTTCTCGCCCCTCCAAACCCAGGCAGTAAGTCCCCATAAGCCCCATCTGCTTCTGGTCTGAATCTCCGTTGTTGGGGGTTCCTCAGGTTTGGTCTTATTGCCCCAGGAGTACAGATTCGCTGGACTGACCCACCCCCAAACTCGCCCTACAACTGTGGTCATGTCGGCACTATTACTTTATAATGCACAACGGAGAAAATTAAAATGCTATAACATTAATAAAGTGTCAGTGTGTGGGGGAAAGCTAATATAATTGATAATTACACATTAATAACTATAGTATAAAGCAATAATAAGCACAGATAGCTCTTAATCTAATTGTATAGCTATTAAAGAGTCAAAAAACAACGTTGAGTGTCGCTTAAGACGACATGTAAAGTTTTACACTGCCACAAGTAGAAGGCGGCATCTAAACAATGACACCTCAACAGACCTGTATTAAGGCGTGTTTGTATTGGAGCTAATCAACCAGAAAACAACCTACGGCCACACCCGTGCAAATCACTCAATGACAGGAAGATAATGTCATTTTTAATTAAAAATGACAAACGACAACTAAAAATATTATTGTGGCATTGGGGTTTCGTTTATTTTAGAGCTCTAAAAGCATTTTCTTCAGGCGAAACGGCGTCGGTTAGCATGTCTGAACTAGCCGATCGACTCCACAACTTTAAACGCTAAACTGTGTCGATGTCGAAACACTAGCGACCGGATCAAACATACCTGCGACCTCAAATCTTTAGTTTTATGTGACTGCAGTAAGGACATGCAGTTACATCTCCCAGACATCAGTCTCTATGCTTAAGTCGCAAAAACATTTGAGTTCACTTATCGAAGCCAGCTTCACATTCCTGTTCATTTGCGCCCGGCACAAACATGCTTTAACTTAAACCGTTCCAGCACATAAACAGCTCGACACAGTGCGAAAATACAGTCCAGTTCAAGTCCAACAGACTCACGGCGTTTTGAGGGAGATAACCTCACGCAACAAAACTGTCGTTGAGTAGAGTACGAGCTGGTTTACGTGTCTAGCAAAGGGAAGATCGGCTCATTTCCGCGAATCGGTTCTTTCAAACGGTTCATATGAAAACTGATTCAACCAATCAACTCAGTGATTCTTTTACGTTATGATTCGTGGCCTCACGTGCTGTCTGACGTCCCGGCGCGGTATTTTATTTAATAAAGCAACATATTGCTGTTCTTTACAAGTATTTCGTTGCGAATCATACGTGTATAAAAGTGATTGGCTGGAATAGCATATAAATGTAATACAAGTAATAGTATTTAAACGCTTTTATTCAAAGCGACAAGAGAAGAACAAGCCAACGAGTCACTGAGCCAACGATATCAGGTTTAGCCAGAAAGCTTTTAAATAGTAGGCAAAGTATGCTAATATGCCATACCGAATTCGAAATACCACACTACAGCGTTTACTTCAGTTAGTAAGAGAAATACGCTAAACAGTCTCTTGCGATCCGTTCCCGGAGCCGAGATTGATTGAAAAGATCCGACTCAAAAGAACGATTCGGTCACAAATCGGGCGTCGCTACGCAGAACAGAACTGACCCGGTTACATCATGTCATCGCTGACCCAATGACCTTTGCTCTGGAGATGTGTGACCCTCCGTGTAACTACTAAAGGCTGTTGATTTCCAAAATGTGGTTCTTTATTTGCTACAAAACGGGTAGGCTAGTAGCAAAAAAATGAACAAGCATGTAGCTAAACTGAGTCAAGAGTCAAGTACAGTGAAGTCAAATATGATAATAGCCATTGAGTAACTGAGTGGACCGGTTTCCAGAATAAAAGTCCTTCGCCATTGCTAGCAGCAGAAAATCCGATCTACTTGTGATGCATTGTACACGAATATTTCGTCACGTTAGACCATACATTTAAAAAAAAAAAAAAAACAAGCCTACACAAACTGATTCTTAATCTCCAAAAATATATATATATTTTTATAGTTCAGATAGCATTTGCACTAATGTTTGACAGTATCCTACAACATACATTAGACCAGGGCTGTCCAAACTCGGTCCTGGAGGGCCGGTGTCCTGCAGAGCTTAGCTCCAACCCTAATGAAACACACCTGAACCAGCTAATCAAGCTCTTACTAGGCATAGAAACTTCCAGTCAGGTGTGTTGAGGCAAGTTGGAGCTAAACTCTGCAGGACAGAGTTTGGACAGCCCTGCATTAGACTAAGGCATAAGCCTACAAGGTGGACCTGCTACTTCCATAAAAAATCAGCAACTTCATATTGAGCTGTAACAGTGATTTTTATTAAACGTAAAAGTAGTGTCAATTAAAAAAAAAAGTATACAAACAACTGAGAAATCAAAAACAAGCAGTTACTTTCTCAAACTGTTCTGGGAATGATATACAATGACAGTGAAACAAGTGTTCAAGTTATGATACACAATACTACAAAGCTTGACAGTTCAACATTGTGCTCCAAACCGGTCACCACAACTCTTCTGCCATGGCATAAACCTCTGTCCTTAAAAGAAAACAAGTGTATTAGAGTACAAATGGGGAAAATAAGTGTATTCGTTGTCTGTCTGTGTTTCAGTGCGCCGCGAGAAAGTTACTTCATTGAGTTTCAGTGGAACCGAACAACGCATTCATCATTAACACCCAATTATAACCCAAGTTAAATTTACAGGACCTATACTTACAGAGTGACAGGTCTGTGCATTCAAAGGAATACGCCCATCACTGGCACATAATTCTGGCATCACGTCAACCTAAAAAAATTAAAATCCAATGTTATCTAGACGTTCTTCGTAACAAAACTCATTATAATAATCAAAAGCTGTGCTCAGTAATGTGAAGAACTTCATGTTGTCATCAGAAACTCTAGTCTGTTGAATCATCACTGCACATCACTGATAAAACATCGGAAATGCTGTTAGGACACCAACCTTATGTAGCTTCATGGGCTGGAGACAACGTCCATATTGGCTTCAAACCCTTTGCTGGAAACCTTGAAAATAAACACTTTGTTAGAGATTATTCATGGGCCACACTTGCAAAGACCAAAGAAAAAAAAAACGACTTCTTACCCAGTAGTCATCAACTGTAGCGATTAACCATTCTGCTGGAATCCAACCTAAAGGTTAAAAGATAATTAGACATTTAGAGACATCCAAGCCACTGCAAACCAATCATAAGCTGTAGAGCATGTGTTCAGTGCACTGTGATAATCTTCACAAGTAAATCAGAGACTCTAGTCTAATGATTCATCATTACACGCAATAACAGACAACAGGGGTTTTCAATCTTTAAGTGTCACAGAACCACAAATGGGTTCAGAGGGACTACCATCCTAAAGTTTAAAAGGCAGCTATATATTTATATGTAAAGACTGTATTTATACTGTGGAAACATTTTTTTGCAGATTTTTAGAATTACTCACTATTATAGTACTGTAAAAGTAATTATTTAAATCAATTTTCATTTATTATTTTAATTGAACGCATTTACTACATTTTATTTACATTCCACTGACATTTATAAGCTTTTTTTTGTTTGTTTTTGCGGCCTCTGGGGGTCCCCAGACCCCAGTTTGAAAACCCCTGAAGGAAAATAAAAAAGCTGTGGTCTCATACTTACTGGAAAATTGCTGCAACTTCGGCACATTCTTTGAAATTTGGTTTCCCAAAACATCAGTTCAGTTCAAGTAGATATGATCTGCAAAACGATTAACGTAATATCATCAAGTCATACTGGATTAAGCATGTTGGTCTCTGGACTAAAGGCGAGGGCGAGGCCAGAAGCGCTGCGGTGTCATTTTGCAGGTCTTGAATCAGCGTTAACGCAAGGCCACGTCTGCGTTTTAAACAAATATAAATATAAAGCACTAAACTGTGTTTTAGGGTACATAATATAATTGAAAAATAATGAATAAAGTAAACAACACTCACTGCTACCTGAAGCACCGTAGCATCCTCAGAACGGAAAGGACCGCGCAGCGTGCAGGCAAGGATATTTAACAGGGTCCTAATGCTGCAGGCAGGGTAGCGAAATATCTGCCTGAATGAAAATCTAAGCTTATTTTTGTGCAGATATTACATTAAACATTTTTTTCCTTATTTTCTTCTTTACACTTTATTTATAAAATATGCGTTTATAAAAATAGAAATATGCATGCCGTTTTTATGACTTCATTTGAACTGAGAGATGGGATATTTGTATTGTTAAAAAAACAATTATCACGCCACAGAAATATTTAAGTATACTAATTTAACTAATAACTGTTTATTAATTAACGTAATATATCAAAAAGCACAGTCATACAGCACGCAGTAGCAATTGCTGGAAATGTTATTATTGAAAAATAAATCATTAAGCGTTAAACCTAAATGTTGTTAAAGAAAGGTTGCAGGAGGAAAACAAATATAAAAAATACGAAACATATATATAAGTGTTTAAATATTGCTGTATTGATATGGTTATATATCTGCTAGCTATGTCTGGTTGCTATGCAGCACAAAGTTGTGCGTCGTTGCCAAGAGGAAACGGAAATAAATCTTCTGAAGCCGCAGATTTCTGCCACCGTCTAAAGATTTTTTTGTTTACATTTTTAGAGCTATAACAAGAAACTATCAAACAGTTGCAGGTGTTGCGCGTCTTGACTCGTGCAGGAGTGTGTGCGGTGTACTGCGGCTGGCTAGCGCTCATCATCCCGCTGCACAAGCAAGGGAAGGGAGTGACTCAAACACAATGGGAGGACAGAAGAAGCACTGATAACGCCGCTATACATCTGTGCCTTTAACCCAGCCCACTACTGAAGCGGCACTAATGTGGAACTGGTATTTTAAGTGCAGGCCGGTGATGCAGTGAATCGATTGGCGCTGTGATAAATGCATCTGAATCTGCAGAAGGGCATTAGTAGTGTATTGTCTTAAGATTTCAGTTCTGTCCTTACAATGGATTTCCCTTTCGACCTGAACGCGCTTTTCCCCGAGAGAATTACTGTGCTGGATAACAACTTGAGCGCAGGTCGGAGAGCGCATGGGAGGTAATGTATGCTTTAATGTGTGCTGCTGGGAGAAATGGGTGGAATCTGTTTGCAGCATGCACTGCTTTTGTCTTGTAACAGTGGTTGACACAGTTGTGCAGTGTGCATATACTGCTACCCGTGGGGGGTTAGGATGTTCTTTTATTAGGCTAAATGTGGCGTTTGGTCCAGGTCATCTTTGTCATCTTTTTCCTATAATGATAAGCCTGTTGTCGTCAGAGGATGCAAATGCGGCCCTGAGTAAAAAAACAAATTTGACATGAGTCTGTTTTAATCTGCCATGAGTTTAATCTGAACCGTGCTGATTCAGTAAGACAGCAACAGAATGTACTGTAATTAAACTTAAGAAATCACACCATGCAATGGATAGAGAGAGAGATAGATTATAATAAAGGCTTTTCTAATAGATACGTTTTTAATGGATAAGCGTGTATTTTTTAAATTTAATATAAATAATTTTTCTAAAAATAATACAATAAAATATTGTAAGAATACATTTTATTTGTAATGTACTTTTCTTATACTTGAAGTGCTACGATGCATTACAAATACAATCAAACAATAAATAATAAATGATATATAAATAACAATAATGGTTAAAAACTTCACTGAAAAGATGTGTTTAAGCAGTTTGTTAAAGCAGGAACATTTCTAATGGAAGCAGGTAATGAATGCCATATTTTTAGAGCAATGCAAGAAAAAGCCATTATTAGCATGAAGGGATTTGTGGGGATTTTTTTAGCATACATAACCAACGTTGTTGTATGTTGCATCATACATTACAAAAAATACAACGATTTTAAATGAATTTTAAAATTCACCAAAAATATTTTTATATAACCACAGTTTTTAGTCTTTAACTGCGTCCCAAATGACACACTATGCACTTATATACTATGTACTTATGCACTGTGCACTCAGCAATGTAGTGTATGAATTTTATAAGGTTATTTTGTCATTCATAATCGGAGTCTGATAGCCCCCCAACCCCTTCACTACGTAATTAAAGCTGCAACAGTTGAGTGCATGAAGTGTTCAACATTCCACACTTCGTTTTTAACTATAAGGTTATATATGCTAATTTGTTGCTAAACATTGACAAAATTCACTGCAGCAGATGTACATTTAAAGTTGAAAATATTTATTCTAATTCAATCAGATGGTCTTTAGCACAGTGTTTCCCAACCTTTTGGACTTGAAGGCTCACTTTTGTTCAAGGCAATATTCAAAGGCCCTCGTATCTAAGCTGATACCTCATGCATAAACTAAATCAAATTAAATAAAATTTTAAAAATGTGAATGTCAATTTAAGGTTGTACCTATTTTTTTATTTGTGTGTGTGTGTGTGTGTGTGTGTGTGTGTGTGTGTGTGTTTTAACATTTTAATAAAGATTATATTAACATAATTACTTACTGGGGCCCCCCGGGAGATGCCCCCTAGTGGAGAACCATTGCTCTACCTACCCTTGGAACAAATCATGATTCACAACTCTGATATAATGGCAGCCTCTTGGCTGTTTAGAAAAATAGGACAAGCCATTTGATATGTCCCACCCAAATGTTTTGATGTGAAATATGTTAACACAGAAAGAAAGAATCAAAGATCTCATGGGGTTTATATGTATATATTTCATTATATCAGCCATTTACCACCTTGATATCAGTGCCAGCTATTGAAAAGCTTGTTAAAATGTATAGCACAGCACAGCTATATATGATTCAAACTTGTAATTCAAAACAGTTATGCTTTGTAAAGGTGTATGCATCCATTATGACTTGCATAACTGGAATCATAAATGCTACTTTCTGTGTGTGAGATTCCTAACATACCTGCTTTTTGTTGTCCAGACCAGATCCTCTTCTTCAGATCAGCACAGTTATAGATGAGCTGGGCAAAGCCTCCTCTAAGGTGATAATGACTGTCTTTTTGAGCTTGCAGATGTCATTCACTGTCAGTTTCAGCCTGTCATCATGTCATGTGTGTGTATCTCCTCAGGCCCAGCAGCTGCCTGCTCCTATAACCAGTGCTGCAAAGCTCCAGGCCAACAGACACCATCTCTACCTCCTGAAAGATGGAGAACAGAAGGGGTTCTCTCGCTTTCTCTATCCCTCCCCCAGCCTATTTAATCTATTTACATGTCAATACAGCTGACCTCTCTCCTTCCTGTTTTTCCATTTCCATTGCATATAAACACATCCTCATCTGCTGTTAATAACAGTCTTTGACTCCCTCTTCCTGTCTTTTGCTTTACCAGTGGGAGGGGTGTTATCGTTGGATTTCTGAAGGTTGGCTACAAGAAGCTGTTTTTACTTGTAAGTGTTTGCTCATTATTGAGTTGGTAAATTCAGTCTTTTTAAACTTGATACATTAGTGATTTACAGTATGTTGTAATTGCGTCCAGGACCAACGGGGGGCGCATTTGGAAACTGAGCCTTTATGTGTGCTGGATTTCTATGTGACAGAGACACTGCAGAGACATGGCTATGGGCTCGAGCTCTTTGACTTCATGCTGAAAGTGAGTGTCTGTCGGCAGCCTGATTTAGTTTGCAGGAAAATCCTGTCATTTATTTACCCTTATTTTAGTCCAAACCATGTGACTTTCTTGCGTGCATGGAACGCAAAAGGAGATGTTTCAAAGAGCAGCATGAACATTCTTTGAAACATCTCCTTTTGCGTGCATGGAACGCAAAAGGAGATGTTTCAAAGAATGTTCATGCTGCTCTTTGAAACATCTCCTTTTGCGTGCATGGAACGCAAAAGGAGATGTTTCAAAGAATGTTCATGCTGCTCTTTTCCGTACAACAAAAACACAAAAGGACAAGGTCAGTATAATTCATTCACTTTATTCCAAGTCTGAAGGACAAACTGAAATGTAATTCTTTATTCCCAAATCATTTTCCCCTTCATTGTAGCTTTTAAAACTTATTTGCAAGTGCACATATTCAGACTTGCCCCTTCAAGACCAGGTTTGACGTTAACAATGCTAAACAGCATTGGTTTTATGCGTTTCAACCTTGCTGAATGCTACACGGCAAGGTTGAATTTGCAGAAGTGAAACTACGTTTTGCGCAGTAAAATTTTTGTTAAAATACTTGCATTTTATTCAGATTTCTATTGAATAACTTCAATTTAAAACGTGAATATCGTATATATTTTGGTGTATTTCTCAGACAAAGCTGTCATACACATAGAATATAGCGCATTAGTTGTATGGACTGTGTTTATGCTGTTTTTGAAGCTTGTGTGGAAAAGAGCAGCATGAACATTTTACCAAATATCTATATTTGTGATTTCCGGTGAAAAAAGAAAAAATGTAAAAGTGACACAGGTTGGGAACAACATGAGAGTGCATAAACTATGACAGAATTTTCATCTTTGGGTAAGCTATTCTTTTTTTATTATGTCCAGTAGAAAAGTATAAAGACCCATTTGTATTTGCTACTAAACAGTCCTGTTTGTATTTTGTGACTCATGTTTTCCTGTCCTGATCATATTCTCTGATTGAGCAGCACAAACGGGTGGAGCCTGAACAGATGGCGTACGACAGACCTTCTCCTAAATTCCTGTCATTTCTAGAAAAGCACTATGATCTCAAGAACAGTGTGCCTCAGGTATGATCCACCTTTTAAAGTGAAAGCACTGCATGGTGCGAAACAATCTCAGCCAATCAGAGCATGTTTGTGGAGTGAGATTTTGGACCAGTGAGGTTTTAATTCCTGTACAGATAATTGCGTCACACCTGGTTAGGAGAACACAATGTTATTCTTCTCAGAAATCCTGTAATCCAGTTTGTAATTGAAACAAACCAGATTACAGTACTTGATGAAAACGACTTCATCAGATACCATAATAACATGTTATACCTTGGATGTAAATCCTGATATGGAGTATGTGCATGACGTGTGAGCGTGTGTATTTGTACACAATACAGACTTTATACAATAGTGTTTT